CTCCCTGCTCAGCAGGGAGTCTGCTTCTCCCTCTGACCCTCCCCCTTCTCATGTGCTCTCTCTCAAATGAATAGATAGGGTCTTAAAAAAAAAAAAAAAAAGAAAAAAAAGAAAAAGACAACAGAAAAATTGATGAAACTTTCTGTTCTCTGAATAGATCAATAAATCAATAAGCCTCTAGACAGCCTACTAAGAAAAACAGAGAGAAGACACAAATTACCAGTATCAGAAATGAAAGAGGGGACTTGACTATAGATCCCATGGAAATTAAAAGGTTAATAAAGGAATACTATGGTTAATTCTATGCTAACATATGATAACTTAGATGAAATGGGCCAGTTTCTTTAAAGACACAATCTGCCAAAACTCACATACAAAAAGTACACAATCTGAATGGGTCTATATCTATTAAAGAAACTGAATCATTAATTAATAACTTTCCAAAAAAAAGCACCACTCCCAGATAGGTACACCGATGGTTTCTACCAAACATTTAAGAAAGAAATTGTGCCACTTTTCTATAATGTCTTTCAGAGCATAGAAGTGGAGGGGAAACTTCTTAACTCATCTATGAGGCCAGAACTACGCTATTACCAAAATCATACAAAGGCACTCCAAGAAAAACAAAAACAAAAACAAAAACTACAGACCAGTATCTGTCATGAACAAACATGCTAAAAATTTTAACAAAATGTTAGGAAATAGAATTTAACAATGTATAAAAAGAATTATATACCACAACCAGTTGGGATCTGTGTTAAGTATGCAAGGCTGTTTCAACATTTGAAAATCAACTGATGTGATCCATCATATCAACAGGCTGAAAAGGAAAAATCATATGATCATATTAATAGATGCATAAAAAGCACTTGACAAAATCCAACACCCATTCATGATTAAAAACTCTAAGTAAACTAGCAATAGAGTTGAACTTCCTCAACTTGATACAGAATAGTTACAAAACACCTACAGCTAACATACTTAATGGTAAGAAACTAGAAGCTTTCTTACTAAGATCAGGAACTGCTCCTTTTCAACATTATACTGGAAGCACTGGCAAATACAGTGTGGTATAAAAAGAACAAAAATGGTACACAGATTGGGGAGGAATAAAGAAAACTCTTTTGTTCTCAGATTATATGGTCAGATGACATAAAATGTAAAAATTTCAAACAAATCAACAATAACAACAAAAACAAATCCTGTAACCTAATAAATAATTACAATAGGATTTTTTAAGATGAAAGGTTAATATACAAAAGTTAATTGCTTTCTTTCAGCAATGAACAGTGGAATTTGAAATTAAGAACATAGTACAATTTACATTAGCACCACAAAGATCTAATTACTTAGGTATAAGTCTAAGAAAACCTGTACAAGATCTATATGAGGACAACTACAAAATTCTACTTAATGAGATCAAAGAAGAACCAAATAAATGGAGAGAGATTTCATGTTCATGGATAGGAAGACTCAATATTGTCAAGATGTCAGTTCTTCTCAACTTGATCTATAGATTTAGTGCAATGCCAATCAAAATTTCAACAAGTTACTTTGTGGATACTGACAAAGATTATGGAGAAGAAAAAGACACAAAATAGCCAATATGATTTTGAAGGAGAAGAACAAATTTGGAGGATTGGCATTACCCGACTTCAAGACTTACTATAAAGCTGCATAGTGGTATTAGTGAATAAATAGACAAGTAGATAAATGGAACAGAATAGTGAGCCTAGAAATAGACCCACATAAATATCAACTTGACTTATGAAAGTCAACTGATCTTTTGCAAAGGATCAAAGGTCAAACAATGGAGCAAAAACAGTTTTTTAAACACATGATGCTGGAACAACTGGACATCCACATGTAAAAACTAACTAACTAAATAAAGCTAGACACAGACCTTACACCCTTCATGATAATTAGCTAAAAATAGATCAAGATCTAAATGTAAAACACAAAACTATACAACTCTCAAAAGATAAAATAAGAGACAATTTATATGACTTGAGGGTGCTTTTAAAAATATAACACCAAGAGTACAGTCCATGAAAAAAATTGATAAGCTGGACTTGCTTAAAATTAAAAACTTCTGATCTGTGAGAGACAGTGTCAAAAGAAATGAGAAAACAAGCAACAGACTGAAAGGAAATATTTGCAAAAAACACATCTGATAAAGAACTGTTATTTCAAAATATATAAAGAATTCTTAAAACTCAACAATAAGAAAACAAACAACTCAAGGGCCTTAACAGAAACCCCACCAAACAAAATATATAGACGGCAAATAAGCACATGAAAAGATGCTGTACATCATGTGTCAGGAAAATGCAAATTAAAAAATGAGCTACCTCTATCCACCTACTAGAATGGCCAATATCCAGAATACTGGCAACAGCAAGTGCTGGTGAGGAATTGGAGCAACGGGAACTCTCATTCATTCCTGGTGGGATTTCAAAATGGTATAGCTATTTGGGAAGACAGCTTGAAGGTTTCTTACAAAAATGAACATACTCTTACCACATGATCCAGCAATTCACTCCTTGGTATTTACCCAAAGAAGTCAAAAACTTATGTCCACACAAAAACCTGCACAAGGATGTTTAAAGCAGCCTTATTCATAACTATCAAAACCTGGAAGCCACAAAGATGTCCTTCAGTAGGTAAGTGAATAAACAAACTGTGGTACATCTAGATAATGAAATAGTATTCAGCACTAAAATGAAATTATCTATAAAGCCATGAAAAGACATGGAGCAACCTTAAGTGCATATAACTCAGTGAAAGACGTCAAGCCTGAAAAGGCTACAAATTGTACGATTCCACTATACGACATTCTGGAAAAGGTAAAACTATGGAGACAGTAAGAAGATCAGTGGTTGCCAGGAGTTGAGGGTGGCAGAGAGATGCACAGGCAGAACACATAGGATTTTTAGGGCAGTGAAAATACTTGCATGATACCATAGGGTAGATACATGTTATTCGTGTTATTGTACATTTGCCCAAACCCATATCATGTACAACATCAAGAGTGAACACTACTGGACTCTGGATGATAATAATGAGTCCATGTAGGTTCATTAATTGTAACAAAGGTACCATTCTGGTACAGAGATGTTGATAATGGAAGATAATATGTGGGGGCAGGAGCTATATGGGAAATCTCTCTACCTTCTTCTCAGTTTTGCCATGATCCTAAAACAGCCCTAAAAAATAAGGTTAGAAAAAAAAAATAAAATCTTTAGAAAAAAAAAGGACTGAGAAGGAACTCATTTATAGTTCCAATATTGAAACCCGACATTAACGACTTGGCACTCTTTTCTTTCAGCATTTTTCTTTTCGTAGGTTTTGTACTTTATATAGGTATAATCATTTCTTCTTCAATTTGTGAAATTGTAAAAATAGTTATGCCCTTTGAAAAATATTTAAATTTACGGAAATGTATAAGTAAAAAATGAATACACATTTAAGTGGGACTGTATGTACGTATTTCTTTTACATTTGGGAGAAAATAACTATACATTTTATAGAGACGTGTGCTATATACACTTCCCATGCTAAAACATAAGAGATTATATCCCTTCTAGCCCATTACACCACATAACTAGTGTTATTAAAGCACCTACCTCCTTTTCCAACATCAGGCCTTCTGCTCTGAGGTTCTTTTCAAATGTGTTTCTTTTGTCATATTGTATATTTGACTTCCTGTAAACCAGGATGTAATCAATCCGTTTTTTGCCATCTTTGAATAGAAGTCCACTGGATGCTATGTAATTCATGTCATTCTGCAAATAGAGCAATGGTTGTTAATAGTGTAGGTTAGACAAGCACATACATTTTGGTTTCAGTCACTTTGGTTTGGATACTGGCAATCCAATAGCAAAAAAAAATTGCATTGTTTTACATTCCAGTTATGAGATATGGAAAGATGATTAAAGAAAGTTTGCAATCTATAATAGGAGACAAGCTAGCAAGTAATGCTCCAGAATTTGAAATTAGGCAGTCTGATACCAGAAACTGGTTCTCTGATATTGGCATCAAAATGTGTATGTTTTATTCAATAAGACCCTATAAAAATAATATCAGCTAGCATATGTTGAGTATTTATTCAGCATCAGGCTCAGACATAAGTACCTTACATGTTTGATCTTATTTAATACTTACAATTCCCATTTCAAAAATAAAGGCACGAAGGCTTAACATAAGTACTGAAGCCAACATTGCTTCCAATATTAAATAATACTCAGAATAGATAATATTTTCTAAACCTATGTTCAGCAACACTAAATCAAACAATAATTCCTGAGCTGCTTGCTCTAAGAAATACTTGTTCACAGGATATAAAACTGTGAGCCAACTAAAACAGCTTATTTACCAAGACTAATCAATTGCTCATCAAGATTGCTTTAAGGCCCTTCACCTTGCTGTGACCATCCATCCAAGCTATTTTTTTATAGACTGGCCAATTTTCCACCAAATTCCTGCCTTGCAAGACTTACCTGGCCTGACAGCTGAGACACCTGAGTGATCCTCCACATTATAAATGACATCATGTAACTCCTCTCCTGGAGACCCTCCACTCCTAGCCCACTTTTCCCAGTCTATTTTCCTTAGCACTTACTAACTTCTACCATGTTATATAATACTAAAAAAAATTATTCTTTTGTTTACTGTCTGCCTTATCCTACTAGAACAAAGACTGTACCAAGGTAAGGGCTTTTTTTTTTTTATTCTTATGTTAATCCCCATACATTACATCATTAATTCTAGATGAAGTGTTCCATGATTCATTGTTTGTGCACAACACCCAGTGCTCCATGCAGAATGTGCCCTCCTCAATACCCACCACCAGGCTAACCCATCCTCCC